TTTAAAATTTATGACGTCACTGTGAATAGACCAATAGGAACTAGCCACACAACGTTACCAGTTAGACGGTATACGAAAAGTAATATACGTTCGTTTGTGTGCACTGTCTTACTTTTAGACTTCTAAAATAACGTTAAACAAATATCTTTTAAATATAAAATATCAAATGTTTTTAAAAGTATAATGGGGTCTATTCTGTAACAATTCCTTTATATTTAACGGCCTTTAAAAATATTGGCGGCCTTTCAAAATATGTTCGTATTCGTTAATTTACTTCTGTCATTATTTAAACAGATTTCTTTAAGATAGTCCTCTAATGTATTTTGATGATCCGTTTAAATAATGACAGAAGTAAAGAAGAAAATATTTTTAAAGGCCGTTAAATATAAAGGAATTGTTACAGAATAGACCCCTATATATGTTTAAACTTTCACCATATTTATAGTTTCATTGTTTTGAAAAACGACAACTAATAAACAAGAAAATGGAAATGCAGCAGCACTGCATGTGTCATCTGTTAATCAGAAATTTGTGTGTTGTCAATCGATAATTATGCAAGTTTGATGTTTTTATAAATATTATGAGTATGAAAAAAATGTTTCCTCCCAAGATGTGATAATGATTAATATTTTAAATTAATTTTAAATATATTTATTAGTGTTGCTAGAAATATGAAAAGACGAAAATTATTATCATTACACAGAAACGCTTCAAGCAACAGCTATATTATTTTGTTGAGGTTTGTATCTATCTATCTATATCCATCTATCTATCTATCTATCTATCTATCTCTTTATTAAAATAAAAATGTTTTATTGTAATTTAATTATTCAATTATCTACCATTGTAGTAACGATGTTTCTTTTTTTAGATACCAGATGATTTTGAAAACTGTTCATTTTTTAAATGATGGATAAACGTTTACATATAAGAAATGTCTCCACAGTTCTTGTTATTTACCACACAAGAGCCAACTCACTGATTCTACCAAAAAAAGGAAAAACAGAGAACAAAACAAAGGTTGACTGGAAAATAACCTTCTACTAGAGGCATTTTTCATCTCTATTTAATAAACATACACCGGATCTTCAAGATGCAGAGGCAATTTCTGACATTGCCGCCTTCGGTTAATTTAAAATGAGCCTACTATAAGTTCGAAGGTGTATATCCTAAAACCCCTTCTGCAAGAACCTGCCTCAAAACCTCCTGAAAGTTTTAAAGATAGTGAAGTTTTGTCTGAATCGGAAGAAACATCTTTAATATCTGATTCAAAGGGACTTAATAATGAGCAGGAGCTTCAAAACCAATGAACTCTCAAAATTGAAAATAAACCGCAGGTATATTTAGGATTGCCCAACAGTGTTTTTAAAATTAGTTTCTGGAACATTAACCAACAAAAGATTGCATTGTCTCTTTTGTCTTTCATGAACATCGTTCAAAATGTTGTTAATCGACAAATCAGAATATACAATCATTGGTTTGTTTTGTGATGATATGGACTGTTTAAGCTCCGCTACGTCATTCCGCAATTCAACAATAACTGATCTCAATTCATTGATTTCTGCACCAATAACCAAACATGCGGGGCAAGTATATGAGATGCCATTTTTTGAAAGAGCTTTAAGGTCGTTTATAGTAAGACCGACACAAGTATTTTTAAATGTTTTATTGCATACACTGCAATCGACTAACCTGGAGAAATCACATTTAGTTTTGCAACAGGAACATTCTCCTTCACTGGGCATTTTATTAACAGACTATGGACGCCACTGACTATCACAATAAATGCACAGATTGGAGAAAAAGAGAACCGTTGTGAAAAAACAGTTTATTTACACTATAAGCACTTTATCGTAATAACAAAAATATTTTAATTAACGTTTTCGCGAGTATTTCTATTCTTAAGACAAGAATAGGATATTTAAGACTAACTAAGAATTTTTATTCAAGATAACGCTGAACGATTTAAAACACGTCTGTACTACTCGGCTGCTCTAATAATATGATGAACAAGATGTACTATGGCCCGGTAATGGGAGCTGTCGTGTAATCTGTCAAATTCAAAGTAAGCTTGCTTATCGATGAATTTCATTCGTTTTTTAATAACAATCAAATAATATGCTTATAAGCGTCTATAACAATAAAAATATCCCTGTTCATGCATTTTTTGTTGTCAGGTTTGGCTACTTTCAGTGTAAGTGAAGGGATTTCACTACACCTAGTCCGGTCAATTTAGACATCCGAGGGTACAAAAATTCCCACCCAGCTGAAAATTGGTAGGATTGTTCAAAACACCATTATAAATAAATCCTAAAAAGTCCTCATCAATCCGGCACCTGGAAAAAAATTTACTTGGGGCCAAAGGTCACAAAAACGGGTTTTTTCGCAATTTCCAGCAAAACGGTAAGTTTTATCACAAAATTAGTTAAGACAAAAATTGTAGAGCAGATAATTATCTATAAAAAATGTCAAATAATTTTTTTCCTAAGAGCCACCGTTTCTGAGATATAACGATTCAAAAAGTTAAAAGAGTTGTAGTCGTCGTAATATGCACACGTTTCCACGCCACCTTTGAGGTAGTGTACTTGGCGCGTTTTTTTAACGTAGTTTCCCCGGTAGGCCTATTCCACGGATCTGTTGTGACTCTTTTTAATTTGAAACTATTGAATAATAAAAGATATTAGCAAGGGTTGAAAATGATAAAAGCGGTGTAAATAAAAAAAATAGGGAAATTTATTCGTCGGAAACATAATTACCAAATATTTCTGCTTCCTCTTCTACTTGTTCTTCTTCTTCTCCTCGTTCTTCTTCTCCTTGTTCTTCTTCTTCATCCTGGGTGCATGTAAATTGGCTGAATAGTGATACATCGCATGTCTCCTCGTTGGTATCAAACGAGTCCTCAAGTGTTGATGATTCAACATTGGAGCACGACCGGCCTTGACAATTAGTGCATGCTAAAGAACAAAACTTTTTTACAACTACATTTAGCAATACATCCCGTTTTGCAGTTGCAAAAAAATGTGTTGAGCAGTTTTTTCGGCCCAGGTGGTAGTAAAGTGGGCGGTTTCAAAAAGGAATTAAAGCAATCATGATGATACTTAGCCTCAGCAGCAACTAAATCGTTTTCGAATTCGAGTCGAGCAAGAACAGATTTTGCCATAGCATCAGAACGAGTCCGAGCTGTTTCCAGAATCAAATCTTTAAATATTAGTGCACTTATTTGTTAACTTTTTGAATCGTTATATTTTAGAAATGGTGGCTCTTAGGAAAAAAAAATATTAGACATTTTTTATCTACAATTTTTGTTTAAACTAATTTTGTGATAAAACTTACAGTTTTGCTGAAAATTGCGAAAAGCCCAATTTTGTGACCTTTGACCCCGAGTAATTTTTTTTCCAGGTTCCGGATTGATTAGGACTTTTTAGGTTTCATTTATAATGGTGTTTTGAACAATACTACCAATTTTTGAGCTGAGTGGGAATTTTTGTACCCTCACTCCTATTTTTTGGTCTAATTTGACCGGACTAACCTCTATAGGAAAATTTATAGAACGATGTAAAACTACGTAGGTTGTGGTTGTTTCTAAATCTCGCCCTTTTTATATTTCTTAATAATTAAAAAAAATTATTTACTATCAAATTTCATGACTTAATTTGATTTTCTAATCATGTTTACTAATCATTCCATTGTATCTTTTTATGATAAAAACTTTAAATGCCTTCTATTGTATAGATTTATCAATTTTTATTTTTGACTTTTTTAATTTTTAAATACATTTAATTTAATAATACATATTTTGTTTGGTTGTATTTTTTTTGTGTCTCTGCTTGATCTATAAGTTCCCTATATTGTATTTTATACTTCTTTTAATTCCTCAGATTTTTTTATCTATATGAATTTCATGTTTAAATTTTCTTATGGGGCTTTAATATTAAATCCATTTTGCTTATTTATTTATAATTTCCAATTTTATTACAATTTATTTAGTTCAAATAGTATTATAGTGACAATCCATTGATTCTGCCACAATTTTCTTAGCACGGTAGTAGTAATTTGTAAAGAAACGTATAATTTATCACGTTATGTGACTTCTTCAAGTTTACAAAATAATAGTGGTATATTTTGACATTTACTTTTATAATAATAGCTAAATTACAAGTTATAAAAGTAATGATAAAAAACCGACTTCAAAATCGTGCAGATGCCATTACAAATTGAGTTTGCTGATTTTATTATAGATCCCATTTTTAGATCTTGACTAAATCTATACGAGATCACCCCTGAGGTACCCTCTTTCTTAAAAAAAAAGAATCATAAAAATCGGACAACGTACTAAAGAATTATCGCTGAACATACTTAAAAGCATGAAGAGTTTAATGATTTTCTTATGGACGCCATCCATAGATCTTGACCAAATTTACCTCTGAGGTACACTCTTTCTACAAAAAATAATAATTATAGAAATCGGACAACGCGGTAATAAATTATTGCTGAACATACATAAAAAAAATATTCCGACGAATTCAGAACCTCCTCCTTTTCTAACTGACTTCAAAAAATTCTACTTTGTCCGATTGTTATGATTCTGTTTTAGTTTGAAAGAGGGTACATCAAGGGTGGTCTCATATAAATTTAGTAATGATCTAATTATGGGGTCAATGAGAAATTCGTCAACTTATGCATTTTTTAGTTATGTTTAGCGATAATTCTTTACCACGTTACCCGATTTCTATAATTCTTTTTTTGTTAGGAAGGGACTATCTCATGGGTAATTACTTATACAATTGATGAGAGTTTGACGTTCTATGTGAAAATCAAAAACCTCAAAATTTTTAAGGGCATCTGCTTGATTTTAAAGTCGAAAATTACTTTTATAACTTATTGGAAATCAGTTAAAAATCATTACAATAGATATTATAAATAGCGATAATAAATGCGTAGTAAAAAGTTTCGCTATTTAAAAAAATTACCGACAGAAGAAGAAAATCAAAAATATTTACCAGTAAATCCGCAATAGATAAATGGACTAGCATCGTATTTATCCTAGAAGGGTTCTTTTTGCGTCTTTTCATTATCAACACTAACACAGTAATATTAGCCACGGCCGAAAACGCCATTAGTACACTATACACTATTATCGATAGTCTATGACCGTCGTTAAACTGCATGTTCAACGGTAGATTGGTTTCGTTTCTGGTTCCATTGGAAAGGGACCAATGAATCAAGTTGCGATGATCCAATACTTCTTCTTCAAGTTCGAGTTCGATGTCCTTCATTTTGGCGTGTAAGACGATGATGAGTTTTAAACACTGATTGTAACTGAAACAAATTAATTCGAGCAATCATTACCATTTTTATATTATAGGAATTAAGTATTGGAGAGTGTATAGAACGTTAAAAATATAAAAACTTGACTATCACATGACTTGAAATAAAATATCTCCCCAATCGGATTTCCGGGTGGGAGATGGTCTAGGGGGATCTATTACTGTAGAATCGAATAAGGAAACCGTATCTAACAGAAACGACTCTGAGTTACGTAGAGTCGAAAATGCAGGCTCTCAGCAAGTGAGTTTAGTACAACTTGATGTTGATGCTCCCCCGACAGAGAGATTAATGCCACACTTGGAAGTACAACCTGCCACCACCAAAGCAGGAAAGCCCAGACAGCGTTTAAAATGGACTCTGGAAATAAATTCTAATGTAATCCGCTATTATAGGGCTACTAAACTTGAAACAGACATGCTTGGATATCGAGCAAGAATGCATACCCTATTTAAGGAATGTTGCTCAAACATAGATGTATCTGAGCAGAGAGTAGCAGACCAACGCTATGCTATTGTAAAGAGAAGATTGATGTCTCATGTAATAGTTGAACGCATTAGATCCGAGATTGAAGAGGAATTAAGACCTATAGATGAATCAGGAAGAAAAGAGAAAGCACAACAATGCGATAATAATAGACAACACAACAATGAAGTAATATCTGAAGAAATATCCCCAGAATTACAACCTGACCCAACACAAGAACAAGAAAACACCGTAAATATTCAAATCGAAGACCCCAAATACACCAAACTAAGAGAGCTTTTAGAAAATAACCTTAATAAATACGGTAGAACTGAACCAACGCAAAGACCTAAAATACCAAATCACGGATCGTCCAATAAGTTGGCACGTATAGTTAAAGATATGGATACAATTTTGTCACAGTATGTTAGAAACACAACTAATTTCATTGATTTCCATACCCTCATATACTGTGCGGCAATAACATGCGCATTAGAAAATGGTGCTAAAATACTAGATAACCAACAAAGAAAACCAAAAACACAAATAAAACCAGGATGGCAAAAGCGTATCGAAAACAAAATCAATAAAATAAGAGCTAACATAAATAGACTGATGTATTCAAAAGGTCATAATGGAACAAAATTAGTTGAAAGTGTCAAAGAGATATGTAAGCAATACGAAAATCATACAAAGCATGAAGAAAAGAACGAGAATATACCAGAAATATTAGATACAATGAAGCAGAGACTAACAGTACTGTCTAAAAGACTTAAAAGATATCAAGACTCAAATAGACGAAAAAGAGAAAACAAGATATTCAAACAACAGGAAGGGAAATTCTATAGATCACTCAACAGCAAAGATACAACTGAAATATCAAAAACACCAGATATAGAACGCATAGAAAATTACTGGTCAAATTTATGGTCAACAAATATCAATTACAAGAAAAACGCTAGATGGATACGCAATGAGGAGAGAAATAATAACCAAATACCTGAAATTCTGTACACCCCTCTTAACACCTGCCACGTCACTGCTATTATTAACACTCATAATTGGAAAGCACCAGGGAATGACTGCATACAAAACTACTGGCTTAAAAAGTTTACCAGCATACATGAAACACTTACTCAGTACCTTAATAGTTTCATTACCAATCCTGCATCATTACCTAAATTTCTCTCCCAAGGAATGACATACTTACTCCCCAAAAGTGGACCAACTGACAATCCTGCTAATTATAGGCCTATAATATGCTTATCTACTATTTATAAAATTGGACACACGGGATGCACTAATTAGACGAATTGAGAATACTGCAGCCCATATTAAAGAAGAAAGAAATATATCAATTAGGAGAGCAACAAATGCTCTTCGTAGATGAAAATGTTTAGAAGTCAATGGCGGTATTTTTGAACATTTATTGAAAGAACGCTATGATTAAGAGAATTTTTATGTGTAAATTTGTTTATTTGTTAATATGCTATAATTTGAAAACAAATAAAAATCGGATAAGAACATATAAGTTTTTTTACATTATTTTCACGTGTATAATATACTCCCAAAGTTTGGTGCGCTCCTCCTGACTCACCCTGTATAAGTATTTTAGTGAGTATAGATGTACCACTTTTTTAGTCAAGTATGTTAATGTTAACGTTAATATTCTTTAAGAACCAAGTACCAAGTAGAAAATGAAAGTGGACGAAAAATCAAAAAAGACCGAAGTGACAATGATTTAGAATTTATTATTTTAAAAGTTGTTAAAGAAGTATGGCATAGAAAAATAAAAAGAGAAGGTTTAAATAAATGGCGGGACTTGTTTCCTTGTTGGTAGTTGAACCGTAAGCGCTTAGCGCGCTGCTGTCACTAAATTCAAATCCGTTTTACACCCATAAAAAAATATGTTTTCAAAAATAATAACAAAGAAATCAATAATTTTACTGATTTACCCCTTTAAATTTCACTTTAATATAATGTGTGATCAAATACAGGGATAATCGTTAAAAAATTTAAAGTTAAAGCTAAATTTAAATATTATTAGATGGTGTAAATCTGGCTTTGAAAATAAATTAGGTTATATTGCTATAAATATGTCAGTCTTATATTATTTTCATTTTCAAATGCAGGTGATATTTTTTTCAAATGTAGGTGAGTAAATTGTATTAATTAAGTGTAAGTTAGATTTAACTAATTTAACTATAGGAAGGTTCTTAAGAAAATCATTAACTTCTGATTCATTTAAATTGCAGAAGTAAGTACTTTTCTCACAAAACTAACAAGAAATTTTGTGTTTTTCCTGCTATTATTACTCTAGAGGTAAATGGATCCACATTTTAAACATTTGTGGTCAAAAAAATGAAAGGAGTTGTGAGCGAAATGTGTAAAGCCAATTTACAAACAAATATTGTAGAACCCGAGATAGAACCTCATCCTAGTTTTACTTATAAAGACCATGATGAAAAAAGGCGAATGATTTGTGCTCAAAAAGTTATTGTTCAATTTTATATTTATCAAATAATACCCAAATATGTTCAAAAACTTATAATATGCTATTTAAGTCAACTTGTTAATTTTTGCATATTTCACCTATTAAGATCATAAATCATGTTTTCTATTTTTATTGAAATTTTTATACCTTTTATTGCAAGAAAATTGTAAGAATTTAAAAAAGTTATGATTCGTGTTATTTTTTATTTTTAAGATACACACTGCACCTTTATTTTTGTTTTGTTTTAGATATTCCTAGGTATGGAGATTTTTGGAATGTACATAAATGTGTTTCTTAATTAGGGTGAGTTTCAAAGCCCACCTGTATTGAAGCTGGAGGCTTATTGTACCCGAAATAGGCATTACAACTATTCTAGATTGAAATAGATGGGAAAAGTGACAATAAGTATAAGAATATTAGAATTGGAATGATTTGTCCATGGATTAATAAGGGATATTTAAAACATTAAACCAATTGTGTTTATAAATTAACTACTTTGACTTTTTATAAAAACTATATCCGGTTTTTTTAATAATAAAAACATTGTCATGTGCTATGCTGGTTATCATATTATATTTTTATTTTTCAGTAATTTAGTGTGTGATATAGTGCTTGTTATGTTCAAAATATGCAGTTAGAAGACAATGAGACACATGTAATTACATGGTAATTCTAAATAAATTAAACTTGTTAAAAATGTGTTTTATTGTTCAACTAATTTTATTTTTCAGTGACATTTTCCATTTTTCAACATTTACCTACAACAAAAATTCACTAAACTTATTGTTTGTTTAGTAGTTGTAAGTAAAAGTTGTCAAATAGGAAAATGGTACTTCAAATTGCTTCAAATATCTAAATTATCAAGCCCGCCAATTTTTAAATCGCTTTAATTAGTAGTGTTCTACTTTATCGACTGAAACTGACAGGTGTAGTTCAACCGTAAGCGCTTAGCGCGCTACTGTCGAGGTCAAGCAAACTTGTTACCAACTATTAACATGGAATCCGACCCCCGTGAAGTATGGTATCCATCATCAGCTCACCGTTTCATTCACACCGCAACAAAATGGTGTCTGTGAACGGATGAACAAAAGTATAATGCAAAAAGCCAGATCTGTAATGAAAGAAAGTTCGTGTGATCTTCGTTTTGGGCTGAAGCAGTTAACACAGCTGTTTATTTATTAAACAGATCGCCTGCAAAGATTCTACCTAGAGTAACACCTCAAGAAAAGTGAACCGACAAAAAAGTAAACCTCAAACATCTTAGAATATTTGAATGTAAGGCTTATACTCGAATCCCAGACAAAAAACGGCACAAGTTGGAACCAAAAAGTAAAAAACTCGTATTTGTAGGATACTCAAAAAAGGGGAAAGCATACAGACTCTTTGATCCTAAAACTAAAGACGTGTTCAAGGTTCGAGATGTTTTATTTTTTGAAAATGAATATGAGGACACTGTAAATACTGAGCATATTGTTTATAATAATACTAATAATATTGTTACGCAGCACCCTGTAGCGTGCTGTGGTCATCATAAGTAAAGAAGAAGATATAATATTCCCGAAAAATCTCGAAATGTCATTCCTTGTCAAAGAAAAGTCCAGATTGTTCGAGAAGGTTCCAGAAGGGGAGGCAAGCTATATAAGGCGACGACCTGACGTCAGAGTTTTCAGTTTTATGATAGACGTTAAACGTTAATGTTATCAGTTGAAGTTATTGTATCAGTTGTATAATTGTTGTTAAAGTTTAGTTGAAATAAATTGTGATACCAAAAACCAGCGTAACAATATTATTGTAGTAAACCAAATACCAATTAAGGATTATTTCGAATCGAAACAGAAAGTAAATTCGATTCATCGTGCTCAAGTAAAGGTTTACTAGTCGAAGAAGACTTGGATGACTTCAACGACAAAACCTTTTAGAAGCAAGTACCTCGAAATCCAACTGAATCGACTGAATCCAGGTACTCGTTACGAAATCGAACCCCTGTGAACTACTCATTTCTCTATACTCATCAAGCAGTCAGCGATCTGATAGAAGAACCAAAAAGTGTTAATGAAGCGCTTTCCAGTGATTACAAAGCAGAGTGTAGGGCTGCAATTCAGAGTGAAATCAATTCGATGACGAAAATAAGACCTGGAAGCTTGTAAATAAACCAAAAGAATTCAAGTCGGTAATTAAGTCAAAATGAACATTCAAACATTCAAACTAAAAAGAGATGCTGATGGAAACGTAACACGCTTCAAGGCTAGAGTCTTGGCAAAAGGTTTTACCCAAAAATATGGAATTGACCATTCAGAAACCTTTTCACCAGTAATTAGATATTCCTCCATCCTTCACTTCTGTGTCAAAGTTTTGGGTTTAGGTATCGTTTAATAATTACTGTTATTCGTTATATTTAGGGGGAGTGTTGAAGTTCTCTAATACAACTACTAACACTATGCACACTAAGTACTACTTGTGTTTTAGTCTAGAATGTTAATGTTAACTTTATTATTCTGTCATAAAATAACCTACCTATTAATAGGTAAGTTATTCTGTGATTTTGTCACGTAAATAAATTAAAATCACTACCCGTTTTCTTTATAAGGAGTATTTCCACTAACAAATCTACATGTTTTCCAATATATACTTACAAATTAATAACACTCGAATTTCCGTTTGAAATGTTTGTATCAATGGCGAATAGAATCCTTCATGTGCCTTTGTTCTCATCATAGACAACCGATTGAATGTTTCTGCAACAAAAATATAAAAGTTATTAACAAGGATTTCATGTGTCTTATGTCAATGACAAGATGAATGACAGTTATTATAGGTGTTTTAACTTAAATTTCAAGAAAATGTTCGTTAGTTGTATTCGGGGAACAGAAAACATACAATTACCAAAACCATTTATTTAATAATGCAGAAGTCGTACTCAAAGGACCAGCCATTAATACATTATAGATTAAAGGACCAAAGCGCCTAATTTTTTCGTAAATCTTATTTTTGGTCGAAAATTAAGTGATTACAAGTATTAAAAGTAATTTTAAAAAACCGACTTCAAAATCGTGCAGATACCATCACCACATCTTAACCAAATATATATGGTACCACCCTTGAAGTACTTCCTTACTAACAAAAAAAGAATCATAGAAATCGGACAAGGTGATAAAGAATTATCGCGAAACATACATAAAAAGTGAAGAGTTTGAGGATTTTCTCATGGAATTAATTATTAGATTTTGACCAAATTAATATGGGACCACTCCTGAAGTACCCCCTTTATAACTAAAAAAGAATCATTGAAAAAAAATTATATGTCAATCGTCATCCATATTGGATTTGTATGATAGGATGTTGGATAACCTAATTTCGAATTGTAATACAAACGAAAAAAAAATATCTTGTGCTTTATGGAAATTTTACTTGCAGCAAGGCAAATTGCGAAATGCAAAATGGCTGTAGGACAGCGGTCACGTGAACAAACACAACTAACTGATTTGATCAAATATCTCCAACTGACCGTAATGTCTACTACTTGTTTCTATATAAATTCGTCCATTGTTGGATTCGGAGAATTATCCTTTAATATTGCCACAAGCGAATCTTTTTGATGTACACAACAATGTGACGCTGGCGCTGTTCGGACCTCATGCAAATGTCCCTCAACTGTAACTAACGGAAGGGTAGATAGTTTTATCGACCAATTTTAGCGCGTATTCAAACTTGTGTATTATAATAATTAAGTAGATACATATATCATTATACTAGAGGGCGAAATATATGCACCAAAACATTACAAATTAACTTTGTATGTCTGTCAAATTACCGTTGTTTATCAACACACTTTTCAATCAATAAGCAATCAACTATGAATTTCTCGATGAATCAACTTCCGGTACACCTGGATCAAGCATCACTGGTCTATCAGCGAATCCCTGAAAATGAAGCCGTCTAAACCAGTATTGATACCGTGAAAGATCAACTTGTAGAGGTGAACTTCTCAAATGAATACTTATGGAGCAGAAATTCGGCAGATTTACCTTTACACGAATTAAAGTTAAAGAAAAAGAAGATGAAAGACGAAAAAAGAAAAAGAAATAGAAGAAAAAGAAAAATAAAAAAAGAAGAAGAAAAATAAGAAGAAGCAACAGTGTACAGGTTTTGTAAATAATAAGATAAATCATAAATCTACATCAATGAGGTTGAATCACATACTTTGATTGCTATACGAGGCAAGAGAGAGGTCCGACACGCCCAACATAGGGCGCGGCCATTTTGAACCCTGTGACACAGTTTACAGCAAAAGAATTAGATCGCTCACTCTGCGTCGGCACTTTTGATCTCAATGTTTCAGTTTTTACACTGTGCAACTCGGATAATACAATATATGACAACAGCCTATAATAAAATAGCAGTCTTTTGCGTATCCTGAATTTCAACTGGACCGAGTGAGCTAACTGATTCTTTAGCAATAAACTGTGACTTCAAAAATAATATTCACTGACACTGAGAGCAGCAAGCAAAATATCAGGTGCGTTTTAATCATCCGCTTCTGCTTCCGGAATTGTCGGTTTAGTCGTTTTAACCTGTCAGATTAAAACAAGAAAACCGACAATTCCGAAGCAGAAGCGGATGATTAAAACGCACCTATTAAAAATATTGCGCCAAGATGTAGGCAACACGTAATAAGGGTTCAAAATGGCGGAGTTTTCTATCTCCTTTTAAAAGGCACTCAGAAAGCTGCGCAGTGCGACCATTCTCCGTATAGTAAAAGAAAATCAAAGTATGTGGATTGAATACTATGGAGATGACATGCCAAAAAAAACGACACCCCTTCACTAAGAGTGGGGCTTAGTGGTCATGTCATAGCTGTCAAAGAGCTGTCAGAACTTTGTTCAAATTTAAATATTTCGACGCTATATCTTAATAAGTGTTTTTTTTTTGATTAATTTTTATAAAAATCATGACTAAGTGTGCCAAAATTAATTGTAAAAACTCTTCAGTGAAAGAGCGTAAGAAAATATCTGATTTAAGTTTTCATAAATAAGTATAAGGAGTGTACTTAAAATTTTTTTTAGAATGCTTAAATTTTTTTTATTATAGGTTTCCAAAAGACCCACAATATATCAAAATTTGGTCTAAATTTGTGGGAAAAGACCAATTTGATCCTAAACCGAATAGCATGTTGTGCTCTATTCACTTCAAGGAAGAATTTTTTGATAAGAGTGAGTTTAGGGTCAGATTGAAGAAGAATGCTGTTCCGACAATAAATGAATGTTTAGTTAGTATACACTTTATTTACAATAAAACTTAAATAACTAACTTAATAAAGAACATTGGTTTGACTAACTTTATAATAAAGACAAATAACTATATTAAAACTTAGATAACTATAATAAAACTTAAATAACTAACTTTATAATTAAACTTAAAAACCAACTATAATTAAACTTTTCTAAATATATAATCACTTACATTTCTGGATATGTTGTTTATTATTTAAAAAAGAAAATCATTTGTGAACAATGTCTAGATGCTTTAATAAGTAAAACTAGAGATTTGTTTCTATTTTCATTCATTGATATAAAGAATAAAAATGGTTTGCAATATCCATCGGAAGATGTAATAAACATTTGTTTAAAATGTGAAAAAATATTTAAAAGTATGAAAGACTCTAAGAAAAAAATATCAGTTGATATCATCAGCACATTAGTTTTAAAAGAATTCATAAATTCTAATGTCTTTTCGAATATTATGCAGCACAGTTTGGACCAATTGTGTTGGATAATCATAGAATATTATTAATCAAGTGCATAGTTGATAAATATGTTAGTATCCGACTAACATATCTCACTAAAACTAGAGTTAATAAAGCTGCTAGCATAAGACATCAAAACAACAAAATAGTGTTGTTTAAAGGTCAATAAATATTTTTTAAATAATAAATTTTTTTTTGTAGTGTCTTATTAAGAATGGGACACAGAAAAACTGAAGAGTTACCTATAATTTTACCAAATTTGGCAAAAGTTTTTGGTGTCATAAGATACGTTACACTTATTTGAACTATAATTATATATTTTTTGATGTTTTTTAAGTCAATCTTATAGGTACTTTTGTTGGGAACTTATAAGAAACTTCAAAATTAAAATGAAGAATATTCGCATTCTAAGCAGTCTTATTTTTAATCAGACTCTTCAGTTGTTCTGTATCCCTTTCTCAATGAGACACCTTGTATATAAACTTCCCACTTGAACAATTTTATATAATTCAAGTATGTACAATACAGGTGTATCAGAAATTAAAGCAAAAAGACAACTTATAACAAAGGTTTAAATTTAGTAATGTCAAGTCATCCTTGTACCCTAAAAAAGTACCAATGAAGAAATTATTCCTCCAATGCAACCAAACAGTTATTTTTAGGATAAGATTTTGTGTCAAATGTTATCCACAGCCACAGGGTTTCTTGTTAAATGGCATGACATTCAAAATTTTGGTCAAAACAATTTTCATCATGCACTTTTCTTGGAAATTCACAATGCTCTATTAGGATTAAAAACACCAGTTTCTAGAAACTTTTTCACTATAACACAAACATTACTTATCAGAAAAAGTGTTTAAAGTTTTCTTTTTGTAATCACAAATCGCAACTGAATGCCTATTTTTAAAATAAATTATCTCTATATTTCCATTTGTATAGTTGTATGCTGTGCATCTGTGAGATTGTTGTTTATTATACATATGTACCAATTATAGAAATCTTTAGTAAGTACTTGCTTGCAATTTTAGTAATATATGTACCTACCCCAAATAATTAATTATTTCAAACATAAATAAAACCAACAACTATTATCTGAGTCTTTTTAGTTCCGATTGGTTTTGACAGAGTAGTTTTGATCATGGTTTTCTTCCATCTACTTTTAACCATAAAGTCATACCTAGCTGAATTTTTGGTCTTTTTAAACTTTTGACTGTAGCGGGTCATATTTTTAATGTATGTCATCTGCAGCAGAAAGACCTACATGTTTTACATTTAAAAGTAATTAATTGTCCTTTCTACAAACTCGGCTGTATTTTTACTGAAATATATTTATTCACAATTCACGTAGTGGTTTGGTTTTTGGTTTGGTAATTTGATGTCATAATTCTCCTCATTGTCAGATTTTGACATTGGCAGCTTTGATCAAAACAAAAGAGTCCTTGAACGAAAAATCGTAGTTCGGGTTTTAGTTTTAAAGCACAAAGAGATTAACAAATCTAATGCACTGTATTATTCGAACGTTGATTTTCGATCACACAGGTCATATATCGGACGGTTTCGGCGAAGACAGAACAATATAATAATATTAATCTCTTTTATGGTCTTGGCATTGGCTTGGTCGGAAAACGGTTAATAAATAATAGTAAATAGTGTAGAAGTCATAATTGCGCAATGTCATGAAATTAATTTCGAATCGATCATGTTGAAACAAATCTTAGCCAACTATTTAAGCCACGCCCAGTGGGGTCCTTTTTAATAAAACGTATCATATGCAAAACAATTGCCTCATGGCATCTCCATTAGTATTATACCTCCATGATCTACATCCTGTGCCTGTGTGAAGGCCTGGCTACACTAGGTAAAAGAAAAACCAGAAGCATATTACTACAGGTGAAAGCCACTGTCAAAGCTACTAAGTCTAATAAAAAAAATTAAATAACGAAGTCCCACAATATACCTGAAAAGATCGCGGTAAATAAGAACACATAATGTCCAACTCCTTTGTGACTTTTAAAGGATTTTCTTTTATGATAAGTAATTAGTATCCCTTTGTTAGATTACTCCGTTTTGTATTTTAGGGGTAAACATAATAAATAAAGGTTCTGACAAACGTTTCCTTTTTTTTATTAAGTAATTATCTTTCCTTTTATATATTGTCTCGAAAAGTACGAATCATATGAAAACATTTAATTTTCCGCTTGTTTAGGTTTTGGATAAAGTTTCCAGTAACGCACTCGTAATGAGGCCATTGTATGCGGGCTTTATACATTTTAATACCCGCTAATTTGTTTATGTGCTTTATCATTGTATGAGGAATAAAAAAAGTAAATCATTCGTTTTCATAATTTTAAATAAGCAGATGATATTTAATTATACGGGATTCGATATAAAAGTCATTGCACGCTTAAATTTTTTTTTTTAATAGTCCAATTATTAAATAACGAAAAAAAGCCCCTTCGAGCTTACATTAATTTGTAATTGGATGAAACAAAGTCCTTATGTATTTTGATGTGATCTTTCCGAAAAAAAGTGAAAAAAGATGTAGCTGTTGTTCAATTTTTTTTTTTAAATAGGAAAAACCAGATTTTCCAGAATTTTCCAGAGTAAAATGCTAATTATCTGGTCAAGTATCATTCCGATAGTAAAAATAAATGCACCAATCGAAAGAGGAGGCAAAAATAGTTCGGATATTCATTGCACAGGTAGTTTTAATGGCGAATTTCTCGCCGCCAGAAGTGCTTTTACCAAAAAGTTGTTTTTTCGTTTCTTTGATCAGAACCATGGACATGAAATTTGCGATGAATTTGTGGCGAAATTATAAATGTTAGACATATGTGCCCATGAGAAAAGTTGCGTATTTTTTTGTTGGCTCTCAAATAAAATAAGTCTCGCGGCGAAATCTGCCATAATTTTTCGGGAATTCGCAGGAAACCGGAAGACATAGTTTTTTTTAAATTTTTTTCCTATATGATTTTCTCCGGGTTTTCCGAAAACATAAAAAAAATATATTTGAAAAAACTAATTAGAGTAGGTTCACCCTCTGCAAGTGTCCGATGACATAATAAACACAGGACAGCCATTGCAACTTGGAAACAAAAAAATTATAACACTGTGATAGAATTTTGTTAATTTAGGAACGTACTTACTCAATAAATTGCTGAAGAAGTCCGAAAAACCACGTGTATACAGAGCTTGCTGTACACATTTATTAAAAATCTATGCCGATGAATACTATCAAGCGATTCATTTTGTAATAATATGACCGTTTGAAGTTTAAACTTGTCGGATAGCGAACGCCGAGACCATGGCTATCCTTGATGCGACGTGCGGCTAATTTCACGGCAATTCTATATTTTGCACAAAACTCAAGAAACGTCTTA